AAAACAAAGGCCTGATTGTTTTAGTCTCAGAAGAGATGGCCTGGGTGGGATGTGTTCCATTTTTAGCTTAACAGGAAATGAAGTAATTTTGGGGTCATACTTTAGTACTTTTGTTTATCTGTAACAGGTTTTTGTTGCCATGGGTGCAGATCTTTAGACAGTGATAAAAAGTGTGTAGAGAAAGAAGCCTGCGGGGAAGCTTTCCTAACCACTGGCGTAAGAACTTCTGACCCAGAGGGCCTAGAATTGAAGGTTTTTAAGGGGACTGTTAACCTTAGATCACTTGTTTCTTACCTGGGTGCTTCTTGTGTTTTTATTCAGCCTTTTCTCCCTTCATTTTCTGAGTTCTGCAGTACTGAAGGCACCAGTTTGTTCTGCAGGCTTGCTGACCTGTGCTGGCTGCTGAAACTTTTTGTTGTGTTTTAGAGATCAGTTGTTTCATGTGTTGCTTCAGTATTTTGAATTCTCAAACTACCAGTTTCTGTTGCCTGTTTGCCATGTGCTTTGTGTGTAGCCATCTAATAGTTTCAACAGTTTGTAGGGTTGATGGTATCACTTTATGGTTAGAGAAAGTCTTCAAATCTGAGTGAGTGTTAGGATAATCACACCTACCTGTAGGAGAACTTGGCACCCAAATCTAGTGTGGCCTTCAGTACACCTTACAGTCTACTTGGTAGGTAACAGAGCACCCATGCCTCATAAGGTATCTTCTTCTGTTGAAGACAAAATAGACTGGATAGGACGCTAAGATGCACTTACTTACAGTTGGGCTTTTTCTCTCCTCAGTAGCTTCTGGGATTTTTTCTTTTTCTTTCTGGATCCTATAGGATAGCTTCTTTTAGAAACTGAATAAAATTTCGGTACTTTTCCTTTAAAAAACACTGATTATGTTCCTCTCTTGTTACCAGGAAATTGGATGGAAACAAAACCACCATGGAAACTAGCTGAAAAATGTTGCTACTGTACTTCCCCACTACAACTTCTATTTTTTATTGTATCAAATTTGATATAATTTTCCATTTTGCCTTTGTAGTGTAAAGATAGGACTAAGGCAGGCATAAGGTAAATACTCCTCCTCCCCAAACAGTCATTTATCTGGAGCAAGTTTTCAGTAGTAAGCTTTATGTATACCTCTATACCGAAATCAATTTTATTCATAGATCTATGTCACAAAGCCTTTAGTTTTAAAAAATGCTGACTGCTCCAGTCCTCATGTTTTATTTGAAAAGATACAGGGATTAAAAACTAATTTTGAGCCTGATAGTGATACTCTGCCAATCCTGAGTGTTTCGACCACACAGTAGGTAAGTCAGGTACCTTGTTATTATTATTATTTTTTTTTTAGATTTGTTTTGTTTTATATATGTGGTCATTTTACCTCCATGTGTATATGTGTAACACTTTTGTGCCTTTGGAGATGTCTTAGTTACTGTTAAGTTTCTATGACAAAGCACTATGACCACGACCAACTTAGAGAAGAAAGAGTTTATTTGGGGCTTATGGTTTCAGAGGCTGAGTCCGTGATTATTTTGGAGGGGAGCATGGTAACAGGCAGGTAGGTATGATGCTGATGCAGTAGCAGTGGGCTCACATTTTGATGCACAAGGAGGAGGCAGAGAGAGCTAACTGGGAGTAGTGTGGGCTTTGGAAACCTCAAAGTGTAACCCCAGTAACACACCTCCTCAAATAAGGTGACATTTCCTAATCCTTCCCAAACAGCTCTACCAACTAAGGACTAGTCAAACGAGCCTATGGGGACCATTCTCAGACAAACCACCACATTCTACTTTCTGGCTCCTGTATGCTTGTGAGCATATCATGAAACAAAACACATTTAGTCCAACTTGAAAAATCCACATACTCTTTCACAATTTGAACAACATTTCAAAGTCTCTTGTCAGAGACTTTAGTCTCTTTAGTCTCTTGTTAGACTCAAGGCAGTCTCTTAATTATAACCCCCTGTAAAATGAAAATCAAATCATGTACTTAAAATATATAGCAGCACATTCCTCCAGAAAACAGTATGGGTTAGAGCTGTCACAGCAATAGCCCATTTCCTGCTACCAACTTCTGGCTTAGTTTACTTTTCAGTTGCTATGATCTGACACCATGACCAAGGCAGCTATTGCGGTCTTACAGTTTCAGAGAATGAGTCCATTTTACAGTATGGCAGGGAACATGGCATCAGGCATGCAGGCTTGTTACTGAAGCATTTGCTTAGAGCTCACATTTGATCCACAAGCAGAGGTGGGGAAGGGAGGGAGGGGAGAGAGAGAGAGAGAGAGAGAGAGAGAGAGAGAGAGAGAGAGCGCAAGCGCATTGGGAATGGTGTGGTCTTTTTGAAACCTCAAAGTCCACCACCAGTGGCACAGCTTCTCTAATAAGGCCACATTTCCTACTACTTAAACAGTTCCACCAAACTAGGGACCAGGCATTCAAACACATGAACGTATGGGGGTCATGTATACCGCCATTGGAGGACAGAAGAGGTTGTTGGATCCCCTGGAACTAGAACAACTAAGTGGTTGTCAGTCTCTGTGTAGGCACTGGGTATCAAACCTGGGCTCTCTGAGAGAGAAGCCAGAGCTCTTCTTAACCTCTGAGCCAGCTCTGCTACCCAGCCCCTTGTTCTTGATCTGTGTAACTCCTCAAATTGACTCTAACAAAAACTTATCCAAGAAACTTTCCCTTTCCACTTTAACCAATAGTTTGTTGCTGTTTTAAAAAATAAGCCTGTAATTATGCCAAACAATTTTCAGATTTATTTTTTGCTTACATTAATTAATAATTTATTCTTCAGATTGTGAATTTATGTACGAAAGGGAAGTGCATAACTATCTCAGACAGCATGCCTTAACCTAACATGGCCTTACACTTGAGAACTGTAAGAAAGGATCTTTACATTGCCACGGGACTCAATTCCTCTCTTTAGAGCCCTGCAACATGCTGTTGTCTAGCTACCTGTTTGCCTATAGTATTAATAACTCTTGTAGTAAATTTTATACTAAAACAGTTCATCTCAGTGTCCCCTTGAGCCCATAATCTGAAACCTCTTACAAACTCATTTTTGCTCTTCACAGATAGAGTTGGCAATAGCTGACTATACACTTTTTATCTGCTTCTTCTGTTAAACCAGCAGAGATAAGCATAATTGTACTGTTTAACCAATTCCTACCTCCTTTCTTCCCTTCATCTTTTCCCTTCTTTTTTCTCTCCTTGATTACCTTGTTTCTCTCCCCTTGCTTCTGCAGAGGCAAGAAATCATCTTGTCAGCCACACATATATAGCTCTGTGAATACTTGTACATTTCACAGCTTTGAGTACAGTACTATTGTTTTATCATTGGTTTTTAGTTTGTGTATATGTGTGTACACACAGAAGGTGAGTATACAGACCAATAAATAATTCTAACTTTTGATACCATTGCCAGTGCCTTTCTGATTCAAGTTTCCAGGTTTGTATCTGTGTAGAAGTTTGGGAAAGAGATTGGCAAGAAGAATAAGGTCTGTTTGCATGAAATAAGAGCATTGAGTTTTCTATTTTAGGGTAATAATACAGTATCTTCTCTATGGCACAGGTTTTAAAGTCTGAAGTCAGAATTTAGTTTGGATCCGTCATTATTTATAACACCACTGTTAGATGTGCTGTTAGATGCATTCAGCTTCTTCAGGCAGAAGCTTACCTGTTATTACTCACTCTTCTCTATTTACAGCATTTGTCACAAAGCTCTTAAGCCATAATAAATGTAATAGGCCTTGTCCTTTCACATCAGTTTTTACTATAAATAATAGATTTTGCTTTGTAGTATTTGTGGACCATGGGCTTATTACTTTACTTCTTGAAGACTTGTTTATCATAGAATTTTTACATAGAGAAAATGCTATAACAAATGCCCATTATATCAAAATGATAAACCAAACAGTAGCTTTTGGGTTACCAAACCTTTCATAGCAATACAGACTTGCACAGAAATGAGAACTGTGTTGCATCACAAGGGAAAGGGATATAAGGAAGATTCTGGGGGAAAGTAAATGGAAAAACAGCATATTCTTTTTAGGTATATGGGGAAAAACATTATTTTATCTTTCTTTTCCTCTCTAACATAATCTAAACTAGTTGATGTCAGCATTAGAAATTTGAGAAAGAACATTGCATGTTTTGTTAAATACGATCTCCGTATTGGAAATACTTAATTCTGAAAGGCTAGGAAAATGTGCAGAAGAAAGTCTTGTTCTGTATGAACACTAACCCCACAGAAGCTTTGTGCTGCTGTCTTTTAAGTTTGGCTCTACTGGAGCTTCCAGAAGTATGTAGTTGCTAGTTAGTCGCAGGTCACATAGTGCCTGCTGATCTGTATAGTGGAGAGCCCAGTCTGCTTCATGTTTGCCTTTTCTGAGTTGAATTTGTAGCCATAGCATTTGATTGACATGCTTATTGCTTTACCCATGGTTATGATGGGTAAACAGTATCAGGCAGCAATGGTTCTTCTGTAACTTTTAGCCCCTGATTTGCTCATAGCAAGAAAACTTATCCTTTTAACTTTTCTATATTCTTTGATTTCCTGTATGGTGGTGCGGAGCTGTCTGTGCTGCTCATCCCATTTCCCTGTTTTTCCTCTTGCTAGTGCAGATCTAACTCCGCTCAGTAAGCCTTAGCCTGCCTATTGCATACTAGACCTTGAGAGAGATCTAGAGCTTTCACTTTGTAATTTGTACAGATGTAACAGCTGTAGTTGATACAGCTTGTTTTCCATTTCATGCTATGTTATCAGAATGGTGAAAGTGGGGGTTCATATTTGCTTGCCTTTTTTTAAAGATACCACTCATGTTTGCAAATAACAATAAGACAACCAAAAATAGAATTTATAGATATTGGGAGAGGAAGGTTTTCTTTTAGAAGGAGAAATCTTATATGCCATGAAAAAGCTGAAAAGGCCCACTGCTGTTCTTCTTTCATCAGTAAATTCAAGGTTTTCTGTTTGCTGCCTGTGCTTTCTTTAGGTCATGACTGCTGTGAGACAGTGAAGGTGCTGCTCTGTGCTTCTAAGGAGGGCCTTCCTGTGTTTGTAGTAGCTGAAGAAGACTTCCATTTCGTCCAGGATGAGGCGTATGATGCAGCTCAGTTCCTGGCAACCAGTGCTGGAAATCAGCAGGCTTTGAACTTCACACGTTTCCTTGATCGATCAGGACCCCCTTCTGGAGATGTGAATTCTCTCGATGAGAGGGTTGCACTGGCATTCAGACACCTGAAGCTGCCGGCAGAGTGGAATGTGTTAGGGGCAGATCACAGCTTGCACGGTGAGAATTCACATGACTCTCAAACTTCCTTGAGATACTCCTGCTTTCACATTTAAATGCCCGCTGTATGCAGGTCTCCTGCACTGGCTGGGTAAATTACAACTCCTGTACAGAGGATTCTCTTCTCTCTTCTCCTAAGTACACTGACACATCTCTGTGGGTCTAGATTGACTTCTCAAGCAAGGCAGGTGAATTATACTTCATGCGGAGAATGGCAGAGTAACCTTTCACAAAATTATAAGGATAAGATTTTTATTACTGCAACTGAGGTTCTGTGAAAATACTCTGGAGTTGTAGGAAACAGCTGTAGGGGAGTATATCAGGGAGGCATGAGCTCAAGGTAAGCATTGAGAAACTCAGCAATTCTTTGACTAGGCTATTGATTTTATGGCTTTCCATATAAAGGTTTTTAAAGGGCTATATTTTTAAAAAGCAACATGTTTTAATAAATGCTTACATAAATCTCTAATTAAACAAGGGTTTCCCCATATAATTGCTCTTTTAGCAAATGATATCTAGAGGTCATGATTATAAATACATATATTTTTAATAAAATATGCCTAGGTTCAGAAGTCTTATCCTTTCCTGTTCCTATCCTTAGTGCAAATACAACTGAGAAAAGTGTAGCAACATTGGAAGACTGGCATTAGGGCTTCTAATAGGGGCTCTGCTTACACTTTGTACACCTCTAAAAGAGTGTGTGATGTACTTGAAGTGTGGAGTCCACCCAGCTTCAGTTGTAGTGTCGTGTAGGGTGAGCAGCGCAAAAGTCTTCTCTACAGGTGAGATGAAGAGTTCCTCAGGATAAAAAACATGCTTAGTTCCTGTCCCTTCAGACCTGTCAGGTAAGTTGATTCTTCCTCCAGTGAATGAATGATAAGAAATTATTTGTTGACATTTGTTCTATTAAATCAACTTTAAAGGTAAATTGTGACCAAACAGCAGAATGGTATGTCCCATGCTTTGGGGACATACTGATGGCAATAACAAATACCATCAAAACTGGATTGTTCAAGTAAAATAGGAAAAAGTACGAGCAAATAAATCTAGAAGGAAACCTTTTTAATTTTTTTATGTTCTCGTTAGTACAGTATCCAAGAAACTTCTAAACTGCTAAGATATTAATATACATATATGTGACATTTAAAGCCTGAATACTTATCTATTCATAATTCTATCCTGATTCTTCCTAATAGCTCCTGCTATTTCTGTATTACTGTGAAGAACAATTAATTTTATACTTAGTCTTATCTAAAGAGGGACCAGAACTTAGTTTGATCATGTTATCATGATCAAAGAGAACAGTTAGAGAGGCAAAGGTCAGAAGATCTGGGCCTCGGGCTACATGTCTTTTTGTTTGTAAACAGCCCCCTGCCACATACACACCCCTGGAGGTATATGTTGGTTTTGTGAACTGCCCAACATGGATGCTGGGAATTGAACTCTGGTCCTGTTAGATCCAGCAAGTGCTCTCAACTGCTGAGTCATTTTCCTTTCCTTGTCTGTGATCAGTGGAAACTGGCGAACTTTAATTCATTGTTTACTTTTACTGTTCCAAGACTTTCTGAAGATTAAAGTGATACTAGCTTAGGCTGACTCACATGCTTTTAGAAGGTACAGAACCACAAAATGATATCATTACATACTTGTTCCAGTGAGTATAATAGTGTAGAAGTGTTCCAAAGGCACCTTTTTGTGGGGCTTGGGACCCAGTTAGTTGTGTTAATGAGAGATAGATAATTGGATCATAGGGCAAGAGCCTCATTAGTAGATTAATCCATTGATGAGTTCCTGGCTGAATGAACTGTTAGGTAGGCCTGGATGAAGGAAGTTGATTACTGAGGGTATGTTTTGAAGAGTATATTATGGCACTGGCTTTTCCCCTTTCTGCTTCCTGGCTGCCCTGAGGCAAGCAGCTTTCTTCTGCCATGATTTGTGGCCTCACAGTAGGTGCATAAGCAATGGAACCAGTTCACAGACTGAAACCATGAGGCAAAGGAGATGTGGCTCAGTTGGTAGAATGCTTGCCTCACATGAATGAAGACCTCGGATCAGTCCCCAGCACCTCATGAATTGGTTGTGGTGAAGCACAAATGTAATTCCAGTCCATGATAGAGGAGCAGTCCAAGGTCAGTTTCGGATGTATGAAACCTTGTCTCCAAAAAAGGTCACTTTTTCAGTTGTTTGAATACCCAACACCCCACATTTTATCATAGTACCCATAATGATTGACACAAACAGCTAAAATTGAAAAATGCAAAGTTTGGTCATGGATACAGAACAATATCACTGATAGTGCATGTAGAAATGCCAACTTTGAAGAAATTTAGTAGTTTCTTCTATCATCCAGAATTCCACTTTAGGGTATTTACTCTAGAAAAATGAAAGCATATCTTCACCAAGATGTCTGTGTAGAGAAACATTAATCATAGGTCACCAAAATGGAAACAGCTCACATCCCTCCCTCCGACTGAGGAGACTAACAAATTGTGATACAGCCCTATGATTGAGTATCACTCAGCAGTTCAAATGGAGCAAAATATTGATGTGCAGCAATGCAGATGTACTTTGAGTGCTTGGTGCTTAATGCAATGTCAGGTCCCAAAGATTATATAATTATATATTCCAAATAAATTTTGCTAGATGTTGATGGCTCACACCTTTAATCCCAGCACTTGGGAGGCAGAGGCAGGCAGATATCTGTGAGTTCAAGCCAGTCTGGTCTACAGAGAGAGATCCAGGACAGCCAGAGATGCATAGAGAAACTCTGACTAGAAACCCCAAAAATGAATAAGTGAGTGAATGAATGAATGAATGAATGAACGAACGAATAAACAAATGAATGAATGAATAAATAAATAGATGAATAAATAAATAAATAAATAAATAAATAAATAAATAAATAAATAAATAAATAAATAAATAA